TAATAGTAGTTGTGGTAGTAGTAGTAGTTGTGGTAGTAGCAGTAGTTGTGGTAGTAGTAGTAGTAGTAGCAGTAGTAGTTGTGGTTGTTCTGGCTTTCATAATTGTGATTAATAATTTAATATTGACATTACACTTAGCTTTACTAATAGGGTATTGATGATGTCATTTGTGATGAAAGCCTGGCCATGTAGCGTGCGTACTGAGTACTGTCAATATTGTATAATTTGTTCGCATGCATGAATGAATGAATAATTGAAAGAATAAATGAAGGAGTGAATGAATAAATGAAGGAGTGAATGAATAAATGAATGGATGGATGAACAAACAAACGAATGAATTAATGTTTATTTCGTTTTTGCATGGGCGCATGAATGAAAAAAACGAATGAACAAATGAAGGAATGAATAAATGGATAGATGGATAATTGATTAAATGAATGAACAAATAAATGGATGGAAGGATGGTTAATTGAAAAAATGGAACAAATGAATTATATTCGTGCTAAAAGCACGGCTATATATCACAGATATCAATATTTTACATTTGCTCATATGAATGTGCAAATGAATGAATGAGTGAATAAATGAGTGAATGAATGAATGAAGAAATAACTAAATGTATGAATGGATAGACGAATGAATATATGAATAGACAAATAATTGAGTGATTGAATGATTGAATAAATGAATGAATGTATGATAAATGGATAGCAGTTAAATAGATGATAAACACGATCCAACTGAAAATACACTGTATATATTAAAAAAATATAAAGACTGAAATTGCAAAAATAGAATTACGTAAAATTTATTGGAAGGGTGGCCCAGAGCCCACCGAAACTACTCCCTACCCCTTCTCAGCCACCCCTTCCCTCTGTAATTAATTATAAATCCATTCATGCATTCCTTCATAATTTTAGCACTCGTTCATTAATTTGCTCTTTCTTTCATTCACTCACTCATGCGTATATTCTTCAGTTCATCAATCACTTTTGTATTTATCTTTTTTTTTGCAGTAACACACACACACACACACACACACACAAACACACACACACACGCACACACACACACACACACATAGATACACACACACACACGCACACACACACATGCATACACAAGCATTGGCTCTGAGACAATAAACAACATGTTCGCCGACAATCACGACAATTTCTGCAATTAAATATTCCTCATATTAATCGCTGAAGCACTCAGTGTTAACGATTTTTGGAATTTTTTCGATTTTTCTCTTTTTTCCTTTTTGCTCTTTCTTTTTGTTTCTCTCTTTCTCTCTCTCCCTCTCTCTCTCCCTCTCTCTCTCTCTCTCTCTCCCTCTCTGTCTCTTTCTCACTCTCTTTCTCTCTGGTGATGGTTGTGGAGACAGAAGTCGATTCACTGGCGCGTGACATTCTGGCTTTTTATTCGTTTACAAATTTTGTTTCAACCCTTCTTCTAATTTTTTTTTTATTTTTGATGTCTGCCTACGTTTTGGACTTGTTTCTTTTATTATTATCACACGTTTCTCTCTTCCTCTCTCTTTTTTTCTTTCTTCCTCTCTCTCTCTTTTTCATTCTTTCATTTCAAATTTTCTCTCTCTCTCTTCTCTCTCTCTCTCTCCTTCTCTTTCCCTTTCTTTCATTCATTCCCCATGTAGAGTTGAATAAGAAAGAGTTTTTTAATTCATTGATACATGTATGTATATATGTATAGGTTTGTATAATGTATACGTTCGGATGTATGTGCGTGTATGAATGTGTGTATGCATGTGTGTGTGTGTGTGTGTGTGTGTGTGTGTGTGTGTGTGTGTGTGTGTGCGCGCGCTTGGACTTATGTATGTACTTAATTTATCGGCCCTTGTTTTTTAATGTGTTTGGCATTGTAAAAGCATTGATTGCTGGCAATTATAGAAATCCATAGGAGCGTACATTACTTAGCTTTGTTCGGACGATATATTTACTGTATTGTTTGACGTTTTGCAGGCTTGTCTGTATGTATGTTTGTATATGTGTTTGTATGTCTATGTGTGTGTGTGTGTGTGTGTGTGTGTGTGTGTGTGTACGTGTGTAAGTATTTGTGTGTGTCAGTGTGTAAGTCTGTGTGTTTGTTTGTGTGTTTTTTGAATGTATTGAAGTGTTACTGGTATTCTGAAGTGTTGTTGGTATATCTTGGTTTGTATGTGTGTGCGTGTGTGTGTTTGAATGTGTGTGCGTGTGTGAATGTGTGTGCGTGTGTGTGTGTGTGTGTTTTTACTTTATTTATTTCATTTAATCCCCAAGTTGGTTGAAACATGCGGAATGTCAGCAATTAAACGAAAATGAAAATTTGAATAAAAGTGAAATAAAACTGATATATTTTTTAAATTTTATTTTTTTAAATAATTGAATTGTTTTAATTGTTTGTTCATTCGATCATTCGTTCGTTCGTACATTTAACCGTTCCCTCATTTGTTCATTCATTCAACCCTTCACTCATTCATTAAACTGTATTAAAACTTACATTGTTTACTAATAAATTTATTGTTAAAAGTTTTAAATTGCATTTTCAAAAAATCATGAGTTGCAAAATTCTGAACACCAAATAAATTTGTATTACTTTCAAGTGTAGTAGTAGTAGCAGCAGTAGTAGTAGTAGTAGAAGTATCAGCAATAGTAGTAGTAGTAGTAGAAGCAGTAGCAGCAGCTGCTGCAGTAGTAGTAGTAGCAGCGGCAGTGGCAGTAAAAGAATTAGCAGAGATAACAGTAGTAGGACTAACAGTAATAGTATAGTAGTGGTAGTATAGTATTATTACATATCAAAAGCGTCGAGATCTTCATTCTCAGGGCATTGAGAATTAATTGACCAGCTTAATTCACTATTAGAATTAATTATTATGATGTTAATTAATTAATTAATGATGATGATGATAATCCTGGTTAGAGTTAAGATGAGAAGCGATAATATATATAAAATAAAATCATTGAAAATGACTCCTTGACAATCAAATTAATACCAGACATTTTACTAAGGCGACGTGATAGCTTAGCGGTTAAGGTCGCCTGGTACTACATCTCAGTGCTTGCAGGGACCGTGTTCGATTACGACAAAAGAAATCGCCTTTGTTTGTGAAACATCTTATAGCACGTTTTCATGTTTTATTTTTATGTGTTGTTAATTTCTTTAATTTTAAAAATATTGTAATAGATCTTTTTTTAAGATAAGTGTAATAGACCTTTTTTTAATAATTATTAAATTAACTTTTAAAAATATTTCTTTCCACTTTTAAACATTATAGCCGGAAGTTGATAAAATTTCTGAAAGTTACGTCCTTGGCATAATTTTCAGCTGACTTTAACTTGAGATAAAAATTTGCCTGATTTTACAATCAAAATTTTTTTTAAAATTGCCGATTATTTAAATCAATTAATTAATTTTTAATTAGTTAATTGCAATGGCTACTGATGTCATTAATGGCCAGAGTTTTGAGGCAGAGATTAAGAATAAAATTGATGATTTAAAAATTTCTATCACTGCTGTTGAAGGTTTGTGCACATGTTTGGTTTGAAAATTGAAGTTCAAGTCAATTTTTTTTTAATTTTATTAATTTATTTTAATTTTGAAAAATAATTTAAAAAAATTAGCTTTTCATTCGCAAACAAATAGAAATAAAATAGTAATTTTGTGATGAAATATTTTTTTATAATTTTTCTTCCTTGCTTGATTTCATTGGTGAGGAATAAAGAAAGAAAACTACCTCTAGCTCTCTTACCTAAATCATGTATATTATTTTTCAAATTGGTCCCCATAGTTAATTTAGTTATGTCAGTTTAAGTTCAATTCTTACAGTTTATTCTCATATTTACCCTCTCTATTCATTCATACATTGTACCTTGTACTCTGAATTCAAAACTATAAAAAATGTTTAAAAGTTAACTCAGCTTTATATTAGACAGTCAGTTTTATTATTATTTTTCATTTATTTGTTAAAGAATTTCAAAAATGTTTTATTTTGATTATTTTGTTACTAATCAAATGAATGAATCTTACATACAAACACACAGATATTTACATATATACACAGACATACATAAATGTTAAATACAATGTCATTTAACATGTACACACAAAGATATTTATATTTTATACACACATATAGTTTTTTTTTGCAATTTCAACATTAAATCTAAGTTCTCTTTGAGTTCAATTTTAAAATATATTTTTCACTAATTAGACTGTCCCTATGAGAAATTAGTGAATGGTGTTTGTTGTGAGAGAGATAGTGACGTGGTGAAAGATGACGATGATGAAAAAGTAAGTCTTTTTTTTAGTTTTTTCTGTATTTACATGTTTACATTTTTTAATAAATTCATTATTTCAATTTTATTGGAAAATATATTATACATTATATAACATTAACAGCAATATAACAACAACAATAACATCAATAACAACAAAATCCTAGCTGTATAACATTAACAGCAATATAACAACAACAATAACATCAATAACAACAATTCACATCACAGCCAACAACAACAATGTCTTCTGCCGAGGAGTTTTTTATTCAGGAGTCCGGCTTCAATATTAAGATACAAGCTCCAGGCCTTGATATCTTTGAAATCCCCGTGAGTTGGCTCTTTCATTTTACTTTTCATTCGCTCACTCATTATCATCATTCTTTTCTTCCCCCATTCATTCGTTTATTTATTCATTCGTTCTTTGCACTCTTCTCTCTGTCATCTCACTTTCACTCAATAATTCATTCATTCATTCTTCCATTTATTTTTTTACGCATTTCTCTGTACCACCAATTCTCAAGCATATCATTTTAGTTTTTACAAATTCATTTTTTTTTTCATAAATTTATTTAATTTTCAAATTATTTTTTCAAAAAAATTAATTTTTTTACTTATTCATAATTCATTTATCCACTAATTCATCCAGTCGTTCTTTCATTCATTCAATCTATCAATTAATAATTAATCCACTTATTCATTTACTCATTTCTTCAATCAATCATTTAACCAACCAATCAACTCACAGGTCAGTTCGATGGAGTTAGTCCAAGAAATCTATCAAGTACTGGTTGATAAGGAAGAGACTTGCCATAGGACCTGCTTCACCCTTCAACTCGATGGCGTGACCTTGGATAACTTCTCAGAGGTCAAGTCGGTTGAGGGGTTAAAAGAGGGGTCACTCTTGAAGGTCGTCGAAGGTCAGTTGGCTATGATTGGTCGGTTGGTTTAGATGCTTAGTTTTGTGAAACGACATGCAGACCCTGTCATACAAACAAACAAACATACAAACAAACAATCAAACATGCATGCAAACAAACAAACGTATATACAAACATGCAAACATACATACAAACAAACATACAAACATACATACATACAAACAAACAGAACTGTATACAGTAAGAGAAGCCCGAATTCATGTCAGGCACATTCGTGATGTTTTAAAGTCCATAGATATAATAGATGCCTATCTGGGTAATGAGTGCAATTCTCTGTCTTTGCTCAACGTCATCACTGGCGGAAATATTCTTGGTTGGATATTGCTGTTGTTGATACACCCACCACCATCATAATCACACTATCTTCATCATAATCTTCATCACCGTTATCATCTTCAGAACGAAAGCAGTCGTCGTCATCGTCACAGAAGAACAACAGTGGCAGCAGTACGTCGTCGTCGTCGTCTGACCAGCCCGACCACCAGCCGCCTGATTATTTGCTGCCCGGCTCCAAAGACAGGCCACTTCTACCCCTACATCCGGTTTATAAGGAACTCAAGGTCGTCAGGATGGTGATAATGATGTTGCTGGTGATGATTATGATGGTGGTGTTGATGATGAGGATGATGATGGTGAAGAGGATGATGTTGATGATGGTGATGTTGATGATGGTGATGATGATGGTAAAGAGGATGATGTTGTTAATGATTATGATGATGGTGTTGATGATGATGATGGTGTTGATGATGATGATGGTAAAGAGGATAATGATGATGATGATGCTGGTGGGTGATCATCTCCATAGGGCCCGCAGTGTTTGAAAGTTTTAACATTCAGTGGCTGGAACCCGCCCCCGAGCCAGCGCAAAATGAATGGATGATGTTGTTAATGAGAAAGAGGATGATGTTGTTAATGATTATGATGATGGTGTTGATGATGATGATGGTGTTGATGATGATGATGGTAAAGAGGATAATGATGAT